AGTGAATGTGTAAGAGTGGGAACTGGACTTGGGCAGGCATGTAGTCAGGAAGGCAGTAAGGTGAGGGAAGGTGACTCTCAAGAGGAGCTGGGAGAGGTGGTGTTGCTGGGCAGCAGCCAAACAGGGACTGGGGTGAGAGCAAGAGTGACAGAGGTGACAAGGAGTCACCTTACAACAGCTGAAAGCAGCTGTGCAAGAAGACAGAAGGAAATGTGTGTGCAAGCAGGTGGGGTTTAGACTGTCATGCTCAACAGAGTGCAACCAAAAAGGTTGAGAAAGTGGCTGCTGGGCACATCTACACTGGAGACAGGATGGCATGTCCACGTTCCCAGGACAGAGCTGGGGGCTTCCTTGTAGCACCTCAGCTCCTTCTGGCACTGAAACCGGGGCATACACCCATCTCCCTCTGCTCTGCTTCTCCTGAAGGGAAGCCTGGGCACACAGACTGAACAGGAGCTACCCTACAAACATGTGTAAGAGATAAGCTGTAGGGGACCTTGGGATATGACCTGATACCATCTAGTCTCTGCATGAATACGTGGGGGTGAGGTGCAGGGACATGACCTTGGGATAGGTCAGATTTGGCAAGGCCAGGGGGAAGAGAGAGGTAAACTTCAGGGGAACCAGAAAAAAAGTAGAGATGCCATCTCTCACCTGTAGAGGTCTGGAGATTCCAAAATCTCAGCATTGTGACTAAACCTTAAGTGACAGTTTATCCTTCTTTTGGAGCAAAGGCCTTGTGGTAGGTAACATGGTTCGAAACATGGGATTTTGGATACTGTCACACAACACAATTTCTATTTTTTTATCATCATACCATCTCATTCATCCCACAGGGTGAGCCAGCTCTTGGAAGGAATCAGAAGAGTGTAGAAAAGACTGCTTCACACATATATTGTTTTGGTGAAAATGCCTGAATGTGGAGAGGTGGACTTAACTATTTAACTCATTGAGCAGCATTCTAGGGAAAGAGCATCGCTACTGCTATGGAATTCCTGTCAGATGGTAGGCAACTTATGGTATTTCCAGGCTTGCCCACCATTTCCAAGTGGCTAACTTGATATTTAGGGTTGTTTCAAGAATTATAATCTCTCAAAACCTCTTTGAAACACGCTTCAGATACATGTAAGGAAATGCTGAAATACACAATAAGCAAGTGCAGGACATTAAATTGTGGGCTCAAACCACAACTGCTTCACAGTGCTGCCTCTCCACACTTCAGGTTCCCACATGTGTAGACAGATCAACACCTTCTTATGGGTCTACAACATCGTGAAAATGAGTAATCATTTGTATTTCACAAAGATGACATTAAAAATTACAACTGCAGAAAAATAAGGATAGTAATTCTTTATTATGACAGGCATTGGATTTTGAGCAAATACATGAACACTGTGAACACACAGAAAATGTGATTAAAAAATAGAATAGCTAATCAGTGGGGCTTCCAGCAAGAAACATATGATCCTGTAGGTAAAGCCTAATTCTGGGGAACTTAGTTATGCCTCCTTAATATTCCCCTTCTTGACTTGTTTCGTTGCATATTTTACCAGACCAAGTTACACCTCCAGTGTCTCTCACAGCTAATTTAGTATTTGTGAAAGATTAAGCTTCATATGCATTCATAAATTTCTGGAGAACAAATAACTGATATGCTGCACTTAAGTTTGTATGCAATTGCTAAAATACAAGAGACACATCAGCTTTGGAAATTTTAACAGCAGCAGTTATTGTTCTCCTAGAGATTCAGTTACAGGAAAATATCATAGGGTCTTGGCAAGACTCACTCATTTGTAACACTTAAGCAAGACCTAACACATGCAGTCTTGTCTCCAGGTATGTCTATACTGCTAAAAATAATGTAATACATGTTCTTTGCAGAATTTATTCTCCCATTTTCTTTAATGTCCAAACATCCCTGCTCACTCTTGCAGTGTCATAAATGGTGAACTTAGTTGTGTGCTAAGCTTTCCTTCTCCCCCCTTTCCGAAAAGTCCTCCTAATTAAGTTAAACATGCATGAAATAGATACTTTTAGTCATCTGTAAAGAAAATCCTTCAAATTACTCCCCCCAAAAAAACACCACAACTTCGTTTAGGATTATCTATTTATTTATTTCAGTTAAAACAAACATACAATGTTTCATTGAAACTGTGTTGCACTCCCTGCCAACAACTGTACCTAGAGTGTTGGCCTCTAACAATACAGTGGGTATTTACATATGTACATGGATGTACTGCAGGATACCTGAATTTAGTGGCCTAACAAATATGTTAGATTGTAAAAGCTGTTAAGTTGCTGCATTCAGGAAATCGCTACATCCAAGGTAAATTTTAGAGGAAAAGTATACATGAACCTGAACGATGCTTTTTATGGACCCAAATGACTCCTGTGTTTATTGCAACATATACATTTGTAATAAATACAATCTTAGTGTTTTCTTATACACCTTAGGTGTAACACATTTCTTCCATTGCTGTAGGCATTACATTCTGTTGTAAGAGTCTTTCCTTTGACAGTTGTACAGATGTACAACATGAACTCCTTGAAATGATGCAACATCAGTAATGAGAGAGGAATATATACATAAATCCCAGATTCCAAACCTACATTATATACATTATACTTACAGTATATACACACATACAATTTATGTACAGAGACTATCATAAATATTGAAAAATAGGTTTAGTTTTAATGGATTACTGTTTTATAAATAACATGTTACATTTATGACTGAAATATCATGGAAGACATTAATGTCTAACTGAGGTGACAAAACAGTGGTTTAATACTGAAGCTGCTCTTCTGGGGTGGTTTGCAATGTAGGCAACTTTAAGCAGAAAAAAATGTAATTAAAAATCGTACGTTGGAAATCAACCCAGCCAAGTGGAACTCAACTGTTGCAGGTAGAGTCAGTCATCAAATGATAGAACACACAATGTAAAATCTGGAAATTGCTACATTCAGAGAATTAAGTGATGTGTATATTATGAGGTGTCATCACAAAAATCTTCCTCCTCTCTGGCTCCTGAGAAGGACTGTGTAGTAACTTCTCATTTATACCCCCTTCTTCTTCTGTGGTTACTGAAAGAAGGTTATTTCTCACTTCCATATATGTTTTTTTTTAAATGCTGGCAAGGGAAATGCTTAATCCCTGGTTTGCTACAAATTGCTTAAAGCTAGACAATATTTTAATCCTCTTCCACCTCTCTATGTTTGTGGAAAGGAAGAAAAGCTGCCGAAGTACCAAGGAGGCAGACACTCAGCACTTCTGTGGAGATCAGGTAACACAGGCTTGTAAGCCATGGATGTACAGTACCTGAGGCAGAGAAGTACCTAAGGAGTGTTGGTCAGTGCTGACTCCAGGATGGTTAACTGCCAGTTGAGTACCACTGAACTAATAATACAAACAACACAAGAGGATTCTAACTTCTCATTACAGTTTCACGCTACAGACTTAGTGACCAGTACTTACAGTCATGCAGAAGTATCAATACAGAACACCTGCCATCTTTTTTCATAGTTTTCAAATGGCTGGGCAAAGATTGGCATTATCTGCCAAACAGTGACTGTCATTTAGATTTGTTCCTGATTAATTCTACAAGAGCAAAAAGTCTCAGGTACTGCTTAATCAATGGATTACAAGCCCTTCCTTGCTCCCTCTGACTCAACGACCAAGTAGAATTTTGTAATACGGATTTTTAAAGTATGTCAGATGAAGACAGTTGACCCCATTGCCATGATTATTTCATTAATAATATCTATCTAGGCTTTTGTACCCAATATTGTTGTGTTTGAGAAGCCAAGTACGCTGTTATACATGTGTTTTTTCTCTTCAACCTGGGATAAGAATGAAAGAGTAAACATGCACTAGAAATAAAACAGCTAATCACAACCATACAGCACCTGGTTCATCAGCTAGCTAAGGCTCATAAGAAACTTGCCTATTTCTGAAGCAAACAAGTATGAGATGACTATCCAGTCTATGAGGTTATCTTTAATACTACTATACAGTATAAATTGGAAGAGGAATCCCAGTTGTGTACGCAAAGAAAGCTTGTACCAAGCATGGAATACTGGTGCAATTATTTTGTGGATTTGACTCAGAAACAGAATAGTCAAGTAATTCAAAATCCAATAACGGATGGGTAATTTGAGAAATACTGTACACTTTTTGAATATTATACAACTAGTAAGCTACAATAGGACCTTTTTGTTTTCCTACAGAGTGTTTCAAGATAAATCAGACAGAAAAAAAAAAGAACCAACATTGCTACAACTGACAGTGGACCTTAGTAATAAAGAGAACTCCAGGAGAGTTTTGTATTAATGGCACAATATGCTCCAGTGCCATTTAGTTGTTATCTACAACAGAAAAAAACCAAAACAAAACCACAACAAAAAAGGAAAATCCCCCAAACCCTGTTTTACCCAATTGCACTATTGAGTACCTCAAGAAGGGAAATGTCAATGCCATTGTTATGATTTCTAGATTAGCTGTTTTTCTCAAACGTACCCGTTTTAAAGGGTGGTAGTGTTTTTTTTAAAGCCTCAAAGTTTGGGTTTCTGCACCATTTTTCGAAACTAAGGTAACTGTAATTACTTAGGTAAACTGGCAAATGATTTTCAGGATTATTATTTTTGCTCTACTTTGAACTAGATTAATTTTATGAGAATCATTTATAATTAGATCATTTTGACTTAAAATGGTTTATTTTCCGATTTGGTCATAAGAAGCATTTTTAAAAATAAAATTTCCTCTAATTAGGCCTCTACAGAAAGGCAAATTAGATTTAATTTAGGGCACTGATTAAATATTTGTAGGAGCTCCTTTATGTTACTAATTCTTTTTAGAAAAACGTTTCTTAAAGTCAAAATAGTGCTTTTGAGGTCCATAAGAATTTTTGGTACAAAAAAATAATAGTGTTTCTCTTTCTCTCTCTCATTGGTTATTTAAACACTTTGCTGTAAATTAAAGAGTTATTTCTCACATCAAATGGTTCCATTAGGCACATTCAAGTAAAATAACAAAATATCCAAGTAACAACGATGAAAGCCAAACATGGCTTGATAAAAGTCTACAGAGAGTTCTGTCCATTCTCTGGAATGGAATAAAGTTGTCACTTCCTTCAGCCAGACACTCACGTGGTTTGATGTTAATATCCACTTCCATCATGCAGAATAGTTTCTTAAAGACAAAGTTTGGGTATTCTACAATCAGAAGAACCATCAAGAAAGAATCTGCATTTTAAAGGAAGCTGAATAGCTCATCTGCTTTCTCAGTAGGTATCTGAGTGAACACTGGCATTTGAAGTGGAGTATTACAGATTAAACCAGGACACTTAATGGCCATCAGATGGAACATTGTCGGTCCAGTCTAGAATAATGAGTGTCATACTCCCAGTCATCACAAGTATACCACTTAGTAAGAAGAATGCAGCCTGAAAAAAGAAAACACAGAAGAAGTATTTCAATTTCTGCTACTATACCCATCAAGTCATACCGATTTATGGCACAAATACAACTTCTCATGGAGGAAAAAGTAAAAGAGACAAGAGATCACAGCAACCAACAAGGAACTATGTATCTTCCTCACACTTGGGTTCCTTTTCCAAAGAAAAAAGTACAGTTGTTTTCAATATAGCAGACCTCACCCTTAACTGAGGGAAATTAACGTATCTGCTGATACCTGTCGGGCTGCACCACTGCACTGACTTGATTCTGACTCAGTGGGTCTAAGATGTGATTCCAAGTCAGTATGTCTAGTATCAGTAAAAGCACAAAAATCAGTCAGGATGATTCAAATGACCAGTGGAGGTCAGCTTTTATGGGGTAAAATATGTAATGAAGTCTTGCAGGAAAATTTAAAGGAGAACAACAAGATGTTTTTAGTATAGTTCTTAAGGGTGATCTCTTGAAACATGGTTCTTACCAGCAACAGAATGACTCAACTATTGTTTAGACTGGGGGCTGGGGAGTGTGAAAAGTCATTGAAGTGACCTGAGCCTTCTGATGGCAAACTTCTCAGTCTGGAGTCCCTACAGAATTCCCATGTTAACTACGAGAACATTAAATACAAACTCACTGACTACCTTCACCAGGACTTTGAAACTCTTAAAACATGAAGAAGGAAACTAAAGTTCTAGCTCTGAATTACTAAGCAAGTACAATTACTACATATTTGTCTATACATACCCCAATTTTCTGCACTGACTTCATTGGTTCCTTCTTAACTAATTTGATATAGAAGGCAGAAGGAAGTATAAAGATCAGCATGGCAGCTGCAGATGCACCTGTATTTAAAAAGCATAGAAATAAAATACTCGTGAACAGGTAGACTTAATTTAACTAGACTGGAACAGCATTTTCTGACATTTGAAAGGCTACTTGAACTGTCGTGAAAACACTTACCAATGAATCCAAAGATGTCTCGAATGGTAGGGACAAAGATAACAAGGACATTGGTAAATGCCAGAAGAGCAACTGTAATGGAACAGTGACGCCACCACCTAAACTCCTTCCCTGCCCACAACAGCTGGGTAATGGAACTGCGAATCTTTTGGAAAAGAAAAACAAAACAAAGAACTTGCTTTGTCTTCATTGTGGAAGTCAGTGATTGTTGCCTGAATTAGACTTTCCTTCTGAAAATATTTGAACATAATTTTCCTGAACATTTCAGATTTTAATAAAAGTTAAAAGACATGAAAATGATTTTAAAAATATTTAATTTCTGCACTTAAGATGCACCTCTGTGCTTTTGGTCCATTTCTCTTTTCAGTGATTCAATTTTCAAAGCACAGGCAGTGATAAAGAAAACAAAAGAAAAAACATCTGCCTTTAACAAAAATAAACATCAGATTTTTTTAACATCTAAGGTTGTTGCTCAACACTGTACACCTAAATGGCCAAAATTCACATTCACAATGTACTTACAAAAACACACACATAAGCTGATAATAAAATAATGTAAGTACTTTTATGAAGGGGCAAGATTTTTCAACTCCCTCAGAACGTACCAGGAAAACAATCTGACGTATTTTTACCTACTGCTCTGTAAATGTTACCTATTTATTTGAATTAACAGTATAGAGATACATCATCAAGCTTGTTAGAATTAATTTCCTTTTTCAGTTAAGAGAAAAAAATAAATAAATCTGTAAATTTATAAATGGGAGTTGCCAAATCAGTAAATGACTGCAGCAGGACAAGTGATGAAAATTAAAAATGGTAATAAAGTTGAAAAAACACATTACTTACTGGGAAAATAACTACTGGTACAGTAAGAGTTACAGCCATAAGCACAGCAAGGCGCACAATAAGAAGAACAATATCAGCACCCAGATAAGCAGAGTAGGTATGAAGCAGTTCTGGTTCAACTTTTCCTATAAAGAAAATAGTATTTTATAGATACAGCTGACAACCACTTCTGTTCTAAATCGTAAGTGAATTTACAGTTACAGCAATACTAATTGAAAGCCTCAACAGCTCCTGTAAGCATGTCTCCATTTACACAAGGAAAACTTGGGAGTCACTGAATCTGTTTTAATGCAGTTTGAATTCCTGTGTCTTGGGCCTAAGTCTATAACTGATCTTCTTTTGGGTGTGCACTTAGAAAAATACTGAAAACAAAGAGTGTGTATTTAGAACACACAGTAAATGCTTTCTTGCCCTAACTTAAAAAAATACTGTGGTTCTGCACAACATAATTCACTTTAAAGAAAGGTAATATTTACCATAAAATGTCAGGTATCCAAAGAGAGCAGCCAATAAATACATGAGGAACATGGCAAAAAAAGATACATAGGACACATTCATCATTCTTTTACGGCTTCGGCTATAAGAAAAAGAAATATTGTTAGCAATGAAAACATACTGGTTTATACGACTTGTTTGTTTAGTGAAATTACAGACACATTATCTAACACTTACCTTTTCAGTTCTTCATAGATAGGAAGAATTGCAGGATGGCAAACAAAAGAAAATGTTAGGATTGGGACAGCATACACCGTCTGAAAAATAAAATAATGTTTTTCTTAAGTATCTCGACAGACTCTAGAATTTAGTTTTTAAAATTTTATCAGTAAAATTTTTAGATTTGACTTAGGTACCAGTTTAGTTTTTGATAAAGACTACCTGCTCTTTACAACTGAAACTGGCAAAAATTAAAACAACTATTTAAAATTTTCTTAATCCCAGGTGTACCAAAGACTCCCACATCTCACTGAAAGCAATGCTGAGCTGAAGTATTTACATTCAGAATTATGCTCTCGATTTCACAGGCTTATCCATTGTAGCCTGATCTTGGTTATCACAAACTTCTTTGCCATGTGTGGAGATTCACCACTGTAATTGGGAGCATTCATGAGGGCTGAAACTGTGACCGGAGAGTTAGAAGTCTATTCCAAACCCTGGCATAATTTCCCATTCAGGTGCTTTTACCATTTCCTTCACCTTCTTCTGCAATAAAATGCCTTACTAACTTACTTGAATGGAAGCTTGAGAAATGCTGTGCCAAAGAGCGACAGATGCGTTTATTGCCATGCACCTCAGGAAGGCACCTCAAGCTCCTCTAATTCCTGTGTGTGGAATGTGGAAACCCCCAGTATAAAGGAGATAAACTATGCCTAACTCTACTAGAACAGAAAGCCATAGCACATCTTATGTTGACAACTGGGCAATTATTTGAAGGAAAAATAATCTACTTTATCTGCTATGTATTTAGTCTCTTAGTTATTTTCAAAAGAGTCTGATTTGTAGTTACCTGTGAATTGAAGATGAAATACTTTGGCTTACACATATCATCAATTGTTATGTTTTCATCTGCCAAAGATACCAGTGTTCCATTTATTGTCATATTCAAGACGTCACTGTCCATAGGACAAGGAATCTCAAACATCTTCCAAATTACCTAGAAATAAAGCCATGTGTTTATTATTACTTTGACTAATGCAGTATGGGAACCTTAAAAAAAACTGTGCTTCATTTCACTTTGAAATGCAGTTTTACAACCACTGGAAGTCTACAATATTATACTTACAACAATCAGAAAGAAGACCATGCACAGTAAGGAAAAGCCACTGGTATAGCCCAAATATCCTGTGTTCAAGAAAGATAAAAAAACCCCTTAGATACTATAAACAGTAACACCATTCATGTAATAACATTGTGACAATATGTATTCTGCCACTGATCTCTTTAGATTGCCATTTTCTTAGTGTTACATAGAACAAGTTAATTACTTGTTGACTATCTGCTCATCTCAACCCTGACCTGAAAGTTTTCAAAGACATATGAGGGTCTGTACATACAGTCAATTTGTAGTATTAAACTTTTTAACTTAAAAAAACTCAGAACACAATGAAAAACCGCATCAACAACTATGCAAATTATTATATACTAAGAATGATTATAGGATTAATCCTGATAGCATGCACTCTGAGATAACTTGGCCTTTTACCTTCTGTTTTTACTGATCCTCTTAATTTGTTGTAAGCAGTAACTTGAGCAAGCAATCCATATTGACATTCTCAGTTACTATGGTTCCGCTAAAGGATTCTCTGAACATGTAGCATGTTAAGTAAGTTCTTTGCATATACGGCTGAATTACAGCCATTTCAAAGCATCTGGTATGAATATTCATTTTAGATCCCAAACATTTGCAGAAAGAGATTTCATCTATTTACACTGCAAAGACAATTTAACTGCCTATTCTTTCAAGACTGTTACAGGATGCAAGTAACACTCCTACCTAGTAACAGTATTAAGCCATTTCACTGCTAACCAAAGTGGGTCAAACTTTGTGTAAGAACACAATTACTGCTGAGCTTTGCTCTGAAGCCACCCTATCTGTTGCCCTTTTGTTTTCCAACATCTGTAACTAAACATACTTGTTATTTTTTCTGAAGAATCTTATTCATTTTTTTAAGTAAGACTGACAGTAATTATCTAAACACTGATTAGTCCCAAGAAACAAGTTTGGAGACAGCTGCTAATTCACGTAGTACTTCACGACTCAAGCACTGTATTGATCCATTTCCC